TCCCTGCTGTTCCAGTGGTGGGGGCTCAGCAGGCCCAGCAGTCCACTGCTGCTCCCCTCACTTCCAGCTATGCCACCGTGGGCATCCCATATCAGGTTTCCAAATTCACTACAATGAACACTTTTACAATCAAAATAAAACACTATGCGAAAGAAAGAAATGTGTCCATTTCCTTGGACACTGCAGGATGTCCAGGGGCAGCCCGCCCAGAGGCCCTGGCAGTGGCACCGTGGACGAGCATGGCCTGTGCTTGGCTCTCTGGGCAGCCCTGGTGCTACTGCCTGCCCTTTAGACCACGGCTCCATCACCGCGACTGCTGACCGGGCTCCCGCCCTGCCGGCCACACCTTCTGTGCTGGTGGACACAGGCTTTATAGTCCACTCTCCTGAGGTTGCGGTCAGGGCGAGACCTTTCTTTAAGCAGGCCCTGGAAGCAGTTCTAAAGCGGCCCAGTGTCCTCCCTTACTCCCGGGCACTGCCTGGCAATGATGTGCTGAGAGCCACGCAGGAGCACGTCAAAGGCCCCGGGAGCTTCTGGAAAGTCCCCGCTATTAACCCCTCGAAGAAGCAGGGCAGTCCGTGCTGGGCTGACTCACCACCCAAGCCACGTGGGCTGGGCCCTCCCAAGAGCGAAGGTCCCCAAGACCCACAGCGCGAGGACAGGAACTCAAGGACGTTCCCGTCAGTGCACGTCATCTGTGTACCTAACTGAAAGCAGTAAAAATGTTGAAGTACTTACGTTCCATTATTCTTTTATAAAATTATCCAACTCATTCTGAATGCGGAGCAAATTAAGGAGGGAAAGCAAGAATTAAAACAGGAAGTCAGCCAGGGCCCCGAGTGGTGGCAGCGGTGGGGCCTTTGGGCGAACCCCTAAGCCACAGGGCCTGCTTCTCCAGCGGAGGCTCTGGCCCTTGGGGCCACCTCACGGTCCCAGCCATCTCCCTTCTGTGCTGTTTCTAACCCCACCCCTTCCCTTCAGATAGGGACCCATGGGACAGAGCTCATTTGACTTGGGGACAAGCCGAAGTCCCTCTCCTGGAAATGGGGAGTCAGCAGGAGGGGCGGGGTGTGATGGGTCCAGGCAGTACTCAGGCTACCCTCCACTGCCCTCTGCAGAACAATGCAGCAGGCCTTCCCCCACGCTGCCCCGCACACACGGTCCCCGCTGACTCAGACTAACTTGTGTGGTAGGCTCGAGCCCCGGCTCTGCGACCTGCCGCAGGCGCCAGAACCAGACACCGTGTGTGCCAAGGCTGCCCTGCTCCAGCCCAGGCGCCACTGTGAGGCCCAGAACTCACAATCGCCCAGCAATCAAGAGGACTTGGCCAAGAGGGGAATGGGCTTTGTGGGGTCTCCAATGCCCCACTATCCTCAGCTTTCCTCCTTGGGCAGTCCCAATCCTATCCCAAAGCTGCTAGTGCCCTTTGGTTAACTAAAGCATGACCACCCCAAAATATCCTAATCCTCAACCCTCAAGTGGCAAAAGGCACTCTGCAGCCAGGTGCAGGAAGACCCCTGCACACATGACCCATGGAGGCCATGTGCGGGACATGCTCTTCCATGGATGACGCTTCTGCACAGGAGATTTCCAGAAACCCAAGGGCTCTGTGGCGAAGGTCTCTGGTCTGCTGGAGAATGACCAACTTGCAGTTCACTGCCCCCACCCCTGCCTACTGCTCCAGCGCTTGCAGTGGTCACTGCAGAGGCCAGAGACTGGCCCTCCCAATGCCCCAGCCGCCCTCTGACCCCAAGGATCAATTTAGCTGAAAGGCATTCAAAAGCTGAATATTCAAAATTATCTAAAGTGGGGTGGGGAGGTTGTCCCTCTTCTGTTTTACATAAATAAAGAAATCACTGTTTTATGAAAGTCCAGCGGGCAGGGGCGGGGCCCACCAGGCAAAATGACATGCACACGCCTGCCCACCACCACTTCCCTTGAGTATTTACAGACACCTAGCGTGTCACGTGCACATTTCCTCTGCGCTGTTCTAATTATACCCCAGAAGCATGGGTGTGAGACAGTGAGCCAAGGAAACACGCTGACTGACTTCTGCATAGCAGACGCTTTTCTCTCTTGTCTGCATTTCCTAACTCCCCATGATGCACAACATCCTTTCTGAACGGAGGACAGTCGGGAGAGCCACTCCAGAACCCATGATCTTCCTCCCCACACAGGCACACACGTGTGTGCACACACCCACATGCAGACACATGCACACACGGGCACGTGCAGGTGCACACATGTACAGGCGCACACGTGTACAGGCACACATACCACGGGGGCGAGGAAAGGAAGGGGAGCTGGGAGCTGAGAAGCCCCGGAGTCATGGGGCTCTGAAGCCATGGCCACCATTAAATAGCAACCAGGTCGCGGCCCCGGACCGAGCACAACGTGGTTTTGCAAGCCCAGCTCTACCGAGACCTATGGGCTAAGACCTTGTGGGGCCCACAGGAAAGAGAGGTACCTTCAGCCAGAAAGAGGAACTGACACTTCTACCAAGTTGCAGCTTAACAAAACACCTGTCCTGTCGTTTAGCACCTTATGGAGGCTGGGCCCGAGAAGCTGCTATTTTGGACACACTCCACTTATCACACCCTCACTGCCCAGGGTACAGTGGTGGCTGGTGATTTAGGGAAAGAGCACCACCACCACCTGGATTTGGACATGCACTGGGGTGCCAGGGCCAGGGCGCTGCGGTGGACAGGCTTCAAGGCTGTGCGCAGGGTCGCGCGGAGGGCCAAAGGGACGTGCTCTGACGTGGCAGGCTGCCCCAGAAGGGCTGGCGCCTGCATGCAGACTGGGGCTGGGTGCTCAAGAGCCCTCAGTGGGACCCCTGAGGGCCACCTTGGGCATTTGCTGCGGAGGGGCAGAGAATGCATGCTCCTGGAGCCTGGAGAGGGTACTGGGAAGGCCGGACTGCGTGGGGGTGGGGAGAGCTGGGGAGTCCTCTCTGCTGCAGCCCAGTGCTCATGCACTTGCCCACACTGTGAAACAGTCTCTGCTCTGAGGCCTGTGCACCAGCGTGGTGTGTGTGCTGGGCATGGCACACAGGGCGTGTGGCAAGTGCTGTGGTTATGTGGTTACTATGTGGGTGTGAGCACCGCGTGCTATGTGAGGTGTGGCGTGCATGTGGTCTGCACAGCACACATTGTGTGCTCACGCCACACACGAGGTGTGTATGTGGCGTGTTGCAGCTTACATGGTGTGTGGTGTGACGTGTGTGTGTAGTGCCTGCTGTGTGCATGCTGTGCTTGCATATGTGAAGCCTCTTTTGTTATGTGTACGCATGTTAGTAGTGTGTATGAAGGCAGGTGTGTGCCTGTGTGTGAAGTTTGCATTTGCAGCCTGAGCTGGCCGGGGCACATGCAGAGCTGGGCAGGCCCCCGGTCTGGCATTTCATGGCACGGGGTGTGTCATGCTCCTTACACCAAGACAAGTCTTTCCTGGGGAACTAAGCCACAGTGGGAGAAGGGACAGTCCCTAGGGGACAAACCCTTCTGGGGATGCACACAGAAGAGGGTTCCAGCTGCTCAGACTGAGCCTCCCGGAGCCCAGGAGACTTGCAGCCTCGAGGGCTGCAGGTCCAGGCGCATGGAGCAGCGTGCTAGAGGCAGGTTCTGTGACAGCCCTGCCTCAGTCATGATGGGGAGAACCTCACATCCCTCTGCTGCCACCCTGCCATCACCTCCGATGTACCACAGAATTCCTGAATGGAAATACCTGCGTTGACAGCAGGCACCCTTGGGTATTTGCCAGTGTGCCTGCAGGGGCCACCAGGCCCGTACCCCAGCACAGAACAGACATGCCCCTGCGGGTGTTTCTCCACACACCCTGCTCGCAGGCGCCTCTGCCCAGCGTGGCCTGCGCTGGGCCCCAGCAGTCACACAAGTTGGTTCCCAGTCAGCGGGCTGCTTGGGAGCCCGCGGGCCCATGCAACGGGGGGGCAGCAGAGCCCTGGGCTGCTCCTCCCTCTTATTTAAATTCTAAGAGGGAGGAAAACTGGGCTTGTTTTTCTCCCAGTTAGTTCATTCGCCCCTTGCGGGAGTGGGAGTCACCCAGTCTGACCTGCTGGGTTGCTCTGTAGCTACCAGCTCCTCAGATGCACAGGCTGACACCAGGGACGTGCGGCCAAGCAGCTTGTTGACATCCCACGGAACCTCATCCAACACGGACCTGGTCTGAGGTCACTCGCAGGACTCGGCATCTTCTGCATTTAAACATCACTAAGCAAGTCATCGCTTCTCCGGAGCCTCTGAAGTTAAGTTTCCAAATCTCCAAATGCCACACATCAAACCCAGTGTTAGCGCAGCAGGTGTCATCCTATGCAGCAGCGGCTCCGGGCCTCCACAGCCAGCACAGCCATGCCCACCTGCTGGTGCGCACCTGCAGAGCTCCTGGGATGAGCACTATGACAAAGCCCACCCTGTGGCCAAGAACCATTAATATGTGGACCTCCTGCTAGCCAGAGGAACAGCTCCAGGCGATTTAGTTTCACTGCAGGTGAGCTTGGCTGAGGGACACAGTTAGGGGGGCATGCATGTGAAGGATGCTCCACCCCCAGACAGGTGCCCCACTCACCTGTAGCCTGGCAGAAGAGGTGGAAGGTCCCCAGGGCACGCACATGTTGTGCCTGGTCGCTGAGCAAGGGCGGCAGGAAGGCGACCCGTGGGCTGCTGTCAGGCCCCAAGCCCGAGGTTGGCCAAGGGCTTCGGGGAGATGAGCCGGGGCCCAGACAGGACAGGGAGGAGGACCCCAGAGGAGGGAAGGGCATAGGAGCAGAGGCTGGAGACAGAGGACAGAAAGAAAGAGGCACTGAGGAGAGGTCGACAGGAACACACACATGCCAAGAAGGGGAACATGGCCAAGAAAAGAGCCCCTGGCTGCCCCGGCTCCAGCTCCACTGAGGCCCAGCCCTGCCTGACCCCAGCCCTGCCTGACCACTCCAGCCCCACCTGTCACCTGTCAGAGCAAGGTCCAAAGCCCCGGCAGAACCAAGTGCCACGTCAAGGATATAAGGGTCTCATTTATTTAGTTTACTTTTCAAATGTATACAATTCCAAGTAGAAAAATAAAAACAAAGTAAATCTTATAAAACACAAATGTTTACACCAAAACGGTCGAATCCTATCATGCTGGAGGATGAGACTGTCCATACGGGCACACAAAATTCCAGTTCACTGCTCCTTGCCACAGACAACAGGCTCCTCTTCTGGGGTTTGGAAAGCGGAGGCAGAAATGAGTCAGTACTGTGAAACCCCCTTCGCAGCCCCTGCTCCAGGGCTGCGAGCAGGTCAGCGGTGTGGCCTTGGCGGGTGCTAGGGCACAGGCTTGAGTTGAGGCTCTGGCTAGTTGTTTTCCAGTGGTGGACAGCAAAGGCTGGCCAAGTGGGAAGCCTGGGCAGGCAGCGTGAGGTGGAAGCCATAGGACAAGGCGAGGCTGGGTGACCGGGGTCCGCTGGGTGACATCCAGGCTGCGGCATGGGCGCTCTCCTGATCGGGACATCAGGCTGTGTGTGAGCTGCTGTCCGACTCACGCAGCCCGGCCCCGCCGGGATGCCCAGTTTCTCTCCCTCGCTCCGCCCCACTGCCATAGACAGAACCCCACTGCCTTCTCCTTTTCAAGAGTCAAAGCCAAGAAAAAAGTACAGAAAGGACATCTCTCTGAAAATGAAGTTTCCCTCAAAGAATAAAACTAAAAAAAAAAAAAAAGGTCAAGAGATGGTTTTGTCTACATTTCTATAAGCAAAAAAGAATGTATTTAGCAAAAGTAAGTTTATCCCTGAGAATCTGAAGCAACGTAAGTCATATCTGACACTAATATAAACAAAACCTAGAAGATGTCCATCTTTTAAATATTAAACCATCTGCTTCAGTAATTTTAAAAAACAACGACTAACAAACAAACAGACCAACATAATTAAAGCCAAATCCTAAAACAATCATGTGAAAGAAAAAAAAAGGTGTGTGCCCATCCTGACAACAGGCGATAAGTTACCAATCTGATAAACTAAAACGTCATTTCCAATCTGGAATTCAATTATCTTTCAGTGGCTGCTAGGAAGGAGAGTCAGGGAACAAGCCTTCCGACCAGCTGCTGTCCAGCCAGCCCCTCCCCGGCTCAGGCCTCACTGCCTGCAGGACCTTGGACAGCGCTCAACAGCCAGGGGCTGGGGGCATTCTCGCCGTTTTCCAAAAAGACAGATACCAGCTCACAACCTCGACCCAAGAGAAGAGACACAGAAGACTGAGGTTTGCTGACAACAGGCTACCCTACACGGCACTGGACGAGGTCACGGGACTGTGGACACAAGACCTATCCGTGGACGGGGCTCTCAGTCCCCATCCGCGTCAGAGTCGGCAAACTTCAGCTCACACTTGACATCGAATGGCCTGTCCTTGACCGGCAGGTCATCAAGTCTCTGAGAGTCCTCCCTGTCAGTGGGCGCTCTGCTGGCCATGGTATCCTGTTCTGTCTCGTAGCCCGTGTCCAGGGCTGGCTTGGGCTGCCCTCCATTCTGCTGTGAGAAGCTGCCCTGCTCCACCAGGGTCTCCTTCACACTCTGCTCGCAGTCCGAGAAGTCGGATGTGGGCTTCTTCTTGCCCAGCAGCACGGCAGAGCGGAATTTTAAGCACTGTGCCGGCAGGTAGCCCTTGTAGCAGTTGTAGGAGAAGAGGCACAGGCAGAGGGAGAAGAAGAGGAGGAAGAGGAACACGAGGAGGTATTTGTCACTAGACTTGAGGTACAGCGTCTTCTCCGAGTGCAACTGGGTGACCGTGTTGATGACGATCTGGGGCTCACAGGACGTGCTGGTGGGTGTGGGGCTGGAGGGCAGGGCAGCGGCACCCAGCCCCGGCTGGTGCGTGGGGGCCCGCGCAGCAGGCGTCTGGGGAGGGGTGCCCTGGGTGGTCCCTGCTGACTGACTGGGGATGAGCCTACTGTTTTCGGTCTGGGTGGCTGGAGACGTGGAGAGCGCTGGGGTCCTCGAGACCACCTTGACCTCCAGAACGTGCTTGGCCACCAGCTGCAAGACCGTCTTGTTCCTGACCTTCTCCTCTGACAGACACTGGTACACCCCACTGTCCCCCTCTGACAGGTTGAAGATAAGCAAGTTCTTGCTTCCCACCAGGCTGTACTTGGGGCTTTCAAAAGTGAGCACACCATCCTGGAACTTCCACAGCACCCGTGCCAGGTTGGACTTTTGGGAGCATTTGAGTTCTGCCGTGCCACCGTGCTTGAAAAAATGCTGCCGGTAAGTCTCTTTAACTTTATCTGGAACATCAAAATAAATGTGCACAGTGTGAACAACCCCACTTGTCATCTCACTTCCTTTAAAACTAGGTCAATACGCACAAGAAGACACAAGAGGTTCCACCCCCTGGAGCAACATGGAATCTTCCAGAACAAGTAAGGAAATGAAGACATGCGTGACTGAAAAGCAAAGATGAGCCCCGGGTGGCAGTGCGTGGGGAACCGGAGGGAACCAGAGGCATCTCTGAGCAGCAGAAAACCTGTCTGTCTCCTTGGTACCCTGGGAGAAACTCGTGGGCTACAGGGGTTGAGGGTGCAACTGGGGGCGGCACTGAGACAAGCATGGCAGGCGTCCCCCTCAGTCCTAAGCCTGCTTTAACTGATGCAGCTACTGGGTCAGGGATGGAGCGCAAGTCTAAGGGTGCGTCTGCCCACAGTGGGGACACTCTAATTTTCCCACAGGTAGAGGGGAAAGAGAAGTGACTGTCCCTGAGCCCCTTGACCCCCACACCCCACCCTGTTCATGTGGAACGAGCCCCATGCTAAGCAAAGAGAGATGCAGCTGGAGGGTGCATGTGACAGTTTTGAGCAGAGGGCTTCCCAGTGACACACACTCTACGTGATCCACACATTCTTCTCTGTAAGAAAAGGGTGCAGAAAGACCATGGGTCTGGCACAGATACTTGACCCCTGCTCTGAGAAAGGAAAGCAAAATACTTCTGCTTTTGGCCCCTACACCAAAGCATCGTGAGATGGTTACTTGACCCTGCTGCCCCACAGGCAGCAGAGGGAGAAGGAGCCACTTACCAGGGCAGGCAGACACATCCCCGCTCATCTGCTGGACCAAAGCTCTGCAAGACAAAGGGCACACAGGTCGCGCACAGTCTCTCCCTTGTGGGGCGGCGTGTGCATGTAGCGAGACCCCGTGGGTACCTGGTGGGGCTGTCAGTTTCATGCAGGGTGACGCAGGAGGCTGTGGCGAGGCTCCAGGCGCAGTAGGGGTCACGGGCCAGCACACAGTCCTGGCAGGTCCCATGCTTTCCACAGAAGGCCACAGGCGCCTGGACCACGCCTGAATTGGAGCCAGCGTAGATGAACCTTCTGCCCTGTGAGTGTGGAACAGATGTGAAAGGTGGGCCTGGGGCAGTCACAGCAGCAAGGTGACAAAGCATCTTCCTTGCTACCTGGCGGAGGAAAAGCCTCCTCGCTTGGAACAGGAGCAAGGCTGGTCAGACCCAGATAAACCAGAATCAAGAGCACCGTGAAAAGAGGCAGTGCATGGAAATCTGCACACCGACTCGCGCACCAGGCCTGCTCGCAGCCCCTCCTTCCTGTCTCCTCGACCACCAGAGCACCTCCCTCCCTGCTCTTCTTTGGGGATAGGTATTCCCAGACGGCTCCCTGTGGAGGCAGACCACTGGCCCTTATGCCCTGGCCCTCACTGCACCCAGAGGCTGGAGGGCACAGCCCCAGAGCCCAGTGTCCCGGCTGAACGGAGGGCACAGGGGTGCAGACTGCAGTTACCATTGGGGCCCAAACCCAGCAGGGGCTGCTGTGAGGGTGACGCTGAAGGATGAGAGGGGCAGTAGACACAGTGCTTATCACGGACATTCACTGACCATCGTGCACAGGAAGGAACACGCAGGCACACTCAGAAGCAGAGCAAAGCAGGCTGGTCCGGCAGGCTGGTAGGCTGACCCCTTTCTTCACTGACCCAGGTCCCCAGAGTCGCATCAGTGGACTCTGGATCACTGGTGGGAACTCAGCAACTACTCTGCTCTGCCTGGGCGCCTCCCTCCCACCTCAAAGTCCTACAATGACCTTTTGGTTAACACCAGCAGCTTCCCAAGTTCCCAAAGAACTTAGTATTTCAGATTCAGAGGAGACATGGTCTTTATCCTCAGGGGACGTGCTCAGGGTCAGCTGGAGCTCAGGCCCTGCTATCCCTCCACAGCTCCTGGCCTGTGATGCACAGGCCCCAGGTCACAAGCCCTCAGTAGAGAAAGGGAGACCCCTCTGCCGCGACAGCACCTGCAAAGCGCAGTGTCCAGTAGGGCGGCTTCGTGGGCTAGTCACAGCTCCTCGCCCGGCCACGACTCACCTGCTCTCTGCCTTGTAGAAGTCTGGGACCCTGACGCAGGAGAAAACACCTCAAGGACGTGATACTCGCTGCTCAGAGGTGGGGCTCTCTCCCCCGACCACTCACTTCCCCACTGTGTCAACAGCACGCCTGCTGATGGGGTCTCAGCCTTGCCAAGTTTAGGCACAAGAAGGCGTCCCCACCAGGCGGTGTGCCTCCCACAGCTGGGCCAGCTGGCCCAGCAAGCTCGGGGAAGTCCTGCCAACTCTTCAGAGGAGGTGCAGCTCCCAGGTTGCTTTTGTTCAGCCCAAACCGCACACTCAACCACTCAGAGAATAACTGTATGAGAGCCATCAGGTGGCTCTTCTGGGCCACCCGGAGAAGAGGTGCTCCCCAGCTGGTGCTCGCCACAGGCCACACCTCCAAGCCCGGTCACCTGCCTTCTTGGAGGAGAGCAACAGAGTCTGGACAGGCTCCAAGTCCTGGAAGAGCTGTGTCTCTTCAATGATGTGGCTGTCACTGTCCAGGCTGATGGCCTTGTGCAGGGCACCCCGGTCTGCAAGGGCAAAGCACACACAGGTCAGCGATGTGCCTGAAGGTGGGGACAGTGCTGGCACTGCTGGTCACAGCGGTCAGTGGTCCCCCTTCTCAGCGCTCCTCCTCAGCAAGATAGAAGAGGTGACACCTTTGCCTTAGAAAAAGAAAAGGCATGGTCCTTGGCAAAATAAACATCTGGAAGCCTAAATGACATGGGTCATTACAAATTCTTTTTTAATAAATAAATAACATTCCACTGTTAATACCAAAACCATTCTCACAGGCCCTCCCTGGTGGCGCAGCGGGTTAAAGCAC